GAAAATATCTAACCATCTTCTTCTAATTATTACTCACCTCAAAACCCTTACAATACTTCAATTATCCTCAAAGACTTCATGTTCTCTCAACTTGGAAATTTCGCCTTCTACTAAGTTCTCTTTAAATATACTTTATGTCCTACACATTTTCTTCTCAAACTCTTCTTCTTCTACATCCTTTCTAGATATTGATTTCCCTTGGTCCACTTTAGAATTCCTATTATTTTCTTAACTTAAGCTTCAAACCTTCCATCACTTTTCTTCTTCAGATTTCAATCATCGCTAATATAACAAACCATGTTACCTTCTTAACCATCGTTACTACTACTTTACTCTACTCTCTAAATTATGTAACTTTACTCTTCTTTTTCTTTTTCTTGTACTTCATTTCTTTAAAAATACCTTTCTTTGCTTAATTTCCTTTGACACACAGCCCAATTTGATTTCCCAATCTTGCTACAAAACAACAGAAAAAAGAATGCTTTACCCCTAAACTCTTCTTGGTACTTAATGATTCCTCTAACTTTACTTCCCTTAACTTTTTCTTTGAAACAAATCGGCGCTTTCATCCGTCCCCCCCTCAAATCTTTAAATTACCATTCCTCTGAAACTCAAAACATTAATCTTTCCTAACTCTCTCTCTTTCGAGGCCCCCCAAGAATTTTCTCAAAGGCCCCTTAATTTAAAATCAACAAACATTTCTAATGAGGTATACATGTCAAGTTGTCCTTGGAATTGCATTCCTCTACCACTATAGAGAGCATAATACACTACCACAAAAGGAAAGAACAAGACAAAGAATCACTATAGACACACAACACTGGAATCAACATCACACTACATTTCCTTTTCCACTAAACCTTAACTCATAATTAAAAAGGAAAAATCATCCTTAATATAGTCCATGAGTGTACACCCTCATTACTCATAGTCAAGACATTTTATGTTCTCAAAACTTCCAGTAGATACACCAACTCTATGATTGAAACATAAAAAGAAATGACAAATCATGTCACCTAGACTCAACTTTTCTCAAGAAAAGACACGCAACAAAGAAAACCCAACAACCCGCAGGTAATCCCTTACGACGAACTGCTCTGATACCATTAATATAACATCCCACTTTTAGTAGTAAAATACTAACTAAAATGAAATATTACATATATGAAAATTGAACCTCTATAAGAAAACAAACCCACGAAAGGATAAAGGTCCTACACCTATCGAATCTTCTGACTTTCCCAACCTGTTTTCAATCCCATTCATCCTTCTACAAAACAACTGAAAGAGTGCTCCTAGCTTAAGCTTACACCACTTAAAGTGATCATCACAAAGAGAAAACAACACAATAGACAACACACGAGCAAGGGTTAAGCCTAGCATACAAATAATTAAAGATAATTAATATACATACATGTTTAAACATTCACTAAGATACACCACAACCATCAAAAAACAAGCAAAGCAGACCTTTTATGAAATGACCACACTTTGACTTAACCATCCGGTATTATGAAATATTACTTATGACTATTCATCTGCACTCCTTTGGTGTTGAAACATTAGCGCCTACCTCAAGGTACCAACACAATGGTTAGTTCATTATTACACTCAACCTCACGCCAAGGTAAAAAACCCCTAGACTATGTTGACCCTCCGTTATTCTCTCAGACCATGCATCCACCCTTCTCTCACTTGATGAATGAGTGACCATTAGAATGTTATGGAAGTGAAACCTCCAAGACTGAGCCTTTTATCCCATATTCATACTTATAATACTTGAAACCACCATTGGAAACGATTCCTCCTCTGGGACTTCTCCATACCTTTGAAACCATTGAGATCACTTCACATTCACATAGTACACCAATACATGATACTACTGGTCATACATTAAAGAAATATAACACCCATAAAAGTCATCAAAAATCACACAATAACACAATTTCTTCATGGCTTCTTGATACTCACATTTAGGTAAGGAAAACAACTTTGAAACCCTCATCAACAACTCCGAAAGGGTCCAAACCCATGAAACGACCTAAAGAATATCAAAAACTGATAACCGAAACCCCGAATTTGAGATCCCAAAAACTAAAGAAAAAAATAAAAGTTTGATGGGCGCTCAATGGGTGCTCAGGCGAGTTCTTCTGGTAAAAATGACGCCCAAGGTCCCTTTGGAGCACGCCCTATGTTGCACCATGTTCTAAAATACACCTATTTTGAATTTGGTGACCCTCTACATAGGTTTAAATGATTCCTAAGCACTATTAGGCCCTGAGAAACATCTAAAAATTGACCTCTAACTTGAATTGACCACTCCAAACCCAAATTGACCTATGAAAACCCAAATTCCCTCCTATATGCTACCCAAACTCAAATCTACACTTTCTAGCCCCATATCAGTTTCCCAACTGCATAACCAGCTCCAAATACACTTACTAGTACACCCCAACACCTCATATTGCTCAAAGTCACTCTGTTTCAAGATCTCACCATTCAAAACCTCAAACTAGGCCAAAAACCTCTTAGAACTCACCCTAAGATGACACCAACTGTTCTATACCAGATATTTTTCATTTAACAGTCTAGACAAGTCCTAATGGCTCTTATAACATACTCCCAACTATCCAAAACAGTCAACACCTCTTACTTCCAATTCTCACTACTCAAAACCTCCCTTTTTTTTCACTAAAACACTTTAAAACTTCAACAATGAACCCCAATATTTGCTTCATATGAGTTTTCAACCATCTAACTTTTCTAATAAGTCCCAATTAACCACATAACAGTGCTAAACCAATTGTCTTCTCACTCCAATACTAAATTCTCAATTTCATTCACCAGAACCTCTCTTTTAATCTTGAAACTCAAGTAATTCACTCTCAATTACTCCAACCACTTTAAGATCACCATTTAAACCACAATACAACCTACAAAGACATAATTATAATAGTAAAACAATATAAACATATCACGACAAGCATTCAAACATCAAACCACCTTGGATCATCATTTAAACTCAAACATCACTAGAACAACCAATAATAATAAATGTAATTCACTTTATACTACATAAATATATTAAATTCAAATTAACACAGTAATCTAAAACAAGTTCTAGCTTCCCTTACCTTACAAGAAAACTATCAAACTCAAAGAATGTTCCGTCGATTACTTGAAACACAAGGAATCTCTAGACGAATCTACAAATACCAAATTGAAAACGAATAAAGTCCTTAGAACTCTAGATGAAGCATAAATTATTAGGAGAAACATGATACACATGCAAAGACACTATATTCTTTTAAAAATGGATTAATAATGAAGGAGGAAAAAGGTGTAAAAATTTTGTTACTCTATGAAAAAAATTGATCGGCTAAAATTTTAGACCTTGATGCCGTGATCAATTATAAACCTCATGATTGTCAAATAGATAACTCGAGATTAAGAACTCTTACAGAGAAGATAGAGAACTTTAGAAAAGTAGTTTTTAGAGAGATAATACGTTTTAAAATAATGAAACCGGTTTATAACAAAACTATTTATAATAAAATCGTTTAATATTAAAATAACCTAGTATCACTATTTTTAGACTACCATCACTTCTAAAATACCATTGTGGGGTTTAACATATTAATGTGCTACGTTACTAATTCTTTTCAATAAAGAAAACTTTGATCATGATCTTTTACCATTAAAAGTAAATCTTAAAATTTAAGACTTTGCCTTTTTTTTTTTTAATTTTTAAGTATTAATAACAGTTTATTAGTAATTGTAGTACGTAGTTTAACTAGTTTTTATTTATAAACTAATGTAAAATTATTATATATTGTATTTTTCATTAACATACAACCACTAAATTCTGAAAATACTTTACTACATTAAAACTACTTGGACTGACTTTTTTTTTATGTTTTTTTCTTTTATAACATTTTATAGTAGTTGACATATCAAAACAATTTTACACTTATTAATGGGCTAATTTAAATTATTCAAAATAGTGTTTTTATATATTTTAGGATAGATCATTATTTTGATTTATTTAATTTTTATATGTATGTAATAGTATATTTAATAAAAATAATAATAATAAATATGTTTTTAAAATTCTAAAATATTCAATAAAAAAGAACAATCTTGTTTACAGAATGATATAGACAAAGAAAAAATTAAACATATATTTATAGAAAAGATGGTAAATCTATGTGGAAGATAATGAGTGTTTATTTTGAATTTCTAGGTCTTAATTAATGATGAGGGAATTCAAAATAATAAAAATAGCAAATACATATAACAATGGGTGGGACGATTGTGTATTTGACTATCATTCTTATCTTCAAAAGAAAAATTCATCCTTATTCCTGTTTTCACATCCAATAAATACTAAATTTTTAATTCATTTTCATTTCTTCAAATAATTGTATATCTTTAGTTTGCTTTCAAATATTAATTAAATATATTTTTTTATAAGAAAAATAAAAGTTACATAAAAAATATTATATTACTACTGATTCAATATAAAAAAGAAACACGTATAGGGTAGCATTTGAAATTGAAATATTTTCATGTAAAAAAGTAAAAATATTAAAAATGATATATTTGTTCCATTCAGCTATATGATTACGAATTAAGATAACAATATTAACTGTTCTACGATATACAACTGAGTTTTACAAGTTAGTATATATTTTTAGCATTTATGTATGTAAACATGTCCAATGGTACCATTGAAACTAACAGTTACAGTTAAATGCATTTGAAAAATTTCCAAGTTCAATTCTTGAATCCATGCATTCGTTGGGAATAACAGCAGAATTTTAATTATCTCTACACTATCGTTAACTGCGTCAAAGAAAACATTAATTCCTTTGAACAGAGCTTTCCATTTTTCTCTTCTATAAATAGCTAATCAAATGAGATTGCATTTCACATTGCTGAGATATTAAAAATCTTCTCTACACTGCTATCAGCAACTTTAGGAGGTTATCATTTGAAAGATGGGTGGCAAAGGTGGCGGAGGAGGTGGAAAGGGAGGCGGTGGTGGCAAGGGAGGCGGTGGTGGCAAGGGAGGCGGCGGTGGAAAAGGTAGTGGTGGTGGAAATTCAAGCGGCGGCGGTGGCGGTGGTTCAGGAGGATATATGAAGGCCCCTGGTGGGGATGGAAGTTACATATCAAGAGGAGTATTTGAGAGCAATCCTCAGGCATACTTCAGTGGTCTGCATGGTGCATCACAGCCAAACAAGTAGTTCTATTTTATCAAATGCTTAAGCTGTTGCCATAGACATGACTCTTGTGCTCGTTATGTCACTTTTATACTATAAATAAAAGCACCTATATTTTATATTTCTATTTATGAACTTAGTTTTTTATCTTTAGAACTGAGTTTGCCTGAACTTTTTTAATGTAAAAAAATTTCAAAACCTAATAATATTATAATTAAATTAAATTAAATTAAATTAGATATTAATATTTTAATTAAGATACTTTATTAGACTGCTTGAATCTTTTGAGAGAGGCTCACAACGTTCAGAAGCTCTCACAAACTCTCAAAAGGGAGCCCACATGCTCACATCTAAACGACTCAAAATGACGCGTAAAGCGTTAAGCACTCCTTTTATAACCAAAAAATTTCATTGTGTCAACAGTTTTGGTTAATGATGGTCTCAATAATAC